TCTTGATATGAATGAAGTATTGAATTGTATATGTGAATTATATGTCAATAAAACTTTTAAAATATTTTTTTTAAGTCTCATCTTTCTGCCAGGGAGTGGCTGGTGGTTTCAAACTGCTGATTTTGTAGTTAACAGCCCAAGGCTTAGGAACCTCTATGCCACCAGGGATCCTTGGGGGTATTTCTTAGCTGTGACTAAGTGAAATTTGACTGTGAATTACTGGAGATAACGTGTTTTATTTCCTCCTACTCAAGTTCTACCAGACCGGTATTAACTACAAAGAATGATCAGATGGCTATTGTGTTGAAGACAGGTAGGTCTATAAAGTGAACAGTAATATTTGGGAGGTCCACACTCCCTAGTGTAATTAACCACGTGAGATTTTTTTTTTAAAAAGGAGGGACAGCATTTCCCAGAGTTCAGAAGGAGAGTTTAGATTGTGTGATTACTATGTATTAAAGCTGGAATAAAGGCTCGTGCAGCCATCGATATTCACAACAAGGCACCATGCTAAGGAAGGGCAGAGGGGTGGCAAGCGCTCTACAAAACAGTACTCTCTCAAAGAGCTCTGACCTAACCAACCGGCAGATGCGCCCTCCGCACTCCACTTGGAGAATCAAACAATAATACCGACCTTTGGTTGGATGGAATGACTTTTTTAGTATGTTGGAATCATTTTACTTAAAATATCCACCGAAGCGATCGTTTTATTACAGTTCAGAAAGGTCCCTTTAATGCTTGCCCCATTTAAGAGCCCTTAGCTCAGCGGGTCATTTGCAAACCGGCAGCTCCACGCTTTTTAAAGAGCCGAAGGCGGCCCATCTGGCCACGGCCCAGTCTTCCACGCTCTGGGGAAACCAAGGTGGCTTCCCCCCGATTTCACGTACAGCTACTCCCTCGCCACTCCCTCCTCGATCCCTCCACTTCCTTCTCCCCAATCTGTCAAATGTAAAGCAGAATGAGACTGGGGAAGCCAGGCTGTCGTGGGTCCGCTTGGCTTTGATGAAAACGTGCGCCTCCGGTGCCCGGGAGACCGGCTCCCCAGCCTGCAACCGAACCGCTCTGCGGGGCAACGTTTCGGGCGGATCCGGAGCGGCGGGCCAGGCCGGTATCGGGAGAGATGTAGGGACATCAGGAAGCATCTCCAAGAATCCAAGAGGCGTGTGTGTGTGCGTGTGTGTTCCCGAGTCCGTGGGTCCCAGGTGCTTGGGGGAGGAGGGAGGCTAGGCGGCCAAGAGAAAGAACGAAACAGAAAGGGCTAGGGGCGGGGGGGAGGAGGAGAAAATCATAAAAGCG